TCTACAATTATTGCCTCACTGCTTCTTGCTTTCCAACTTGTTGAAAGTTCACTTCTGTAGTTCCTGTTTTTAATAACTCTGGAAAATCTTCTGACCCATTTATCACCCTTTTAGTTTCCTACTGCTTTTGTATTCAAGGCTTTAATCAATACTGAAGTGGTTAAGCACCTTACTCCTCATGAACTACTCTACAAACAATATGGCTCCCATTTTGCCAGATCTACCACTGACGTGCTAACAGCCATCACTGAATATGTACATCAAGCTCTTGATAATAACAGTGAAGCCCAAGCTGTGACTCTTGATATCTCTTTTGACAGTGTTTGGCAGGCTGGTCTTCTATGTAAGCTCCAGGATTACGGTATTACTGGATGACTATTTGATCTAATCCAATCATTCCTATCAAATCGTGAAATGAAGGTCCTTTTGAATGGGCTTGCTTCTAGATCCTTTCTTATGAATGCAGGTGTCTCCCCAAGGCTCTAACCTGGATCCTATGCTGTTTCTGATCATCATGTTCTTCCTGATGCCATCAATTCTACCAGAGCCAACAAATATGACCTGGTTCCTGCTTTTGAAAAGGACCTCCAACCTGTGGTTAACTGGGGCAGGAAATGGCTTGTAAATTTAATGTCTCCAAAACGAAACTGCTCTTATAAACCATAAAGAATCTTTTCTGCCAGCCAGCAGCATGGCTGATGCTAGATTCATGGAAAGCAACACACTGCTGCTTCTTGGTTTCATATTATCAACTGTCTTGAAGTGGAACAACTACATCAAATCAATAGCTACATCTACTGCAAAGAAAGTTGGGTCACTGCATTGTGCCATCTTGCACATTTACAAATCTACCACTTGGCTGTGCATTGAATACTGCTGCCATATCTGGTCTGGTGCTCCTGCTACCCATCTCAAAATTCTTAACAAAATCCAAAGAAAGATCTGCAATGTCATCAAACTTGATTTCAGTTTCTTTCTCACTGATGTGGCATGGATACCATCGAGGCTTTTCTACAAATACTTTCATGGCTACTTTTCTGACAAGCTTTTTTTCCCTGGAACCTGGTGTATGTGTTTAAGTGTGCTACTAAATTGACATCTAGGTCCCACCCTTTTACTGCTGAATTAGTTAAATATAACTGCCACTTCTACTCCAACAGCTTCTTTTTTCATACTTCCTGTCTGTGGAACTCTCTTTCATTTCCTTGCTTCTCTGATAACTACAATCTTTAAAAATTCAAATGCAACATCAATTGTCATCTTCTATCCTTTCCTCTGTTCCCCTTACCCAGTCTTTTCTCCCACCTTCACTTTCTCTAGCCCCCTGCATACGTGGTATTTCCGCTTTGCTTGGGATGAAACGATTATATAATCCATGCTGACTCTAGAGGTAAGGTTCATATTGTCCCGAAGAAGGTTTATTAAACCGAAACGTCAGACGTTGACATTTCATTCATTTTAAACAACATAATTGCATTTAAGGATTTTTGTTTGTTTTTTTCCAAATTTTTCTTCATATATATATATATATATATATATATATATATATATAAACATATAAAACTTTATTTAGTTTTTTTTTCTGTATCTTTTGTATTTCCTGAGATATATATGACTAAAATTGAATTAGAATCAAAAAGAATTGTAAATATATAATTTGAGAAAACTTCTACTTCAAGTTATTACACAAATGCTTGTGAAATAATTTTTTCTGATGATGCCAGTTTATCAATTAAATATGTCAAAGTAGATGTTTTCAAAATTGTATATAATATATATATATATATATATAAAACATTCTGGTGAACAGGGGTGCTTTAATATCAGCCACTTTATTCTGTTGGTTTATTCTAAACTCTCTAATAGATTTTAAAATAGGTTTTAAGCATTTTTTTAAGTTGGGGGTTCATATAATTTATATGGTGGAAAATGCAATCTAACAAAACTTTAAAAAAATTTGAGTAAAATTTGCTCTTCAAAATATATAAACACTTTGATTCCTCTCTGAAAATTAATTCAACCCTTTAATAGTAAAGCATAAATGTTATAAAATGTTTTGAAAATAAAGCATTTTATACTTAAATGACATTACATTACCCACGTATGTATAAAGTAGAATCATCGATAAATGTTACTGCAAACAAATATTCTGACTCCATCTACACAAAAAAAATTCTTTAAGTTGACAGGGTTTCTGGGTACACAACTTTACTGTTTCTCCCACTGGCTTCCAGTATGGAAAGGTTGTTTGAGAATTCAACCCTAAAATAACTAATAGAGAACAGGACATGAAAAAAAAGCATAGACAATTCAGGTTAAGATTAAAAGTTTTGTAAGATTCTGTTTGTACCTCTTTGATGGCCATGGCAAAACTGAGTTTTTTTGTGAATTCAAGTCTATTGCAATTATGCCAATCCTGAACTCAATGATATGCTATCATCTGGTTGTCAAGCAGATTCTTCTACATAATAGATTTTGCTATGCAAGTTAACGTTTTCACAATAAAATTGGTATTAACCAACTGATGTTAGCAAAATTTTCAGGCTATGTTTTATTAGAAATTTTTACAATAGCATATTTGGTGGCATGAGATCTTTCTGTGCAACTTGTGTAAATATTGTTCATAATATTGCAAATAAATACAATATTTATAAATAATATAACTAAAAAATAGATGACATTAGTAAGAAGAAAAACAAACTGGCTCTATGAATATTACAATAAAAAATTTGTGAAAAATAAGAAAAGTTAATTGAACAACATGAGAATATTTGAAGAAGTTAGTGTTACTAATGTCAACAGAAACAATACAAAATATTAAGTGTTGGTTAAAAAAAAAATGAAAGCCACTAAATTACTATATTTAAGTAAACATCACTTTAGGTTGGATAAAGTATATGAATAATTTCTAAGTAGTAGTTTTAAGTAGTGACTATAGAGCTACATTGGCTGGACCTGATGGCTGTTCTTGAGGTTGGGTCTTTCCTGGAAATAGTAAGCCAACGTGGCTTAGAACATAACAGGGAGGAGGTTCTGGAATTGTATTGTCGGCAATAAAATTACAGGTCCCTTAATGATGGCACGAAGAAAGTAAAAGATTATTGTAAGTTCTTGGACAAGACATTTTTGGGTGGATCAAGTGAAAACTAAGAAGCTTTAGGCAAGATATATTCTACACATCCTTTGCCCACCTTGCCAAAAGAAAAGGAAAAAGGTTTCAAAGTCAACAAATTGGCTCCAACCTTTCCTGATATTAATCCAACAGAAAACTTGTTTTTCTTTTTTTTTAAATATTCTATTGTTCAGTCAATACAAGCTTCAAGAGAGAGTTACTGAATGAAGTTCTTGTAAGGGCATATAAGGATAGGGTGACAGGTGCATATTATGAGGAGATGGCTGTTGTCTACCATTAAAAATATATATTGAAATGGCTAGAGGTAACCATAATTTCTATGCTGATAGTTTGTTCTACTGCACTTGTTGTTTGTGGATCTCACTCCCAGCTTCCCAGTCAACTTTTAATCTTCAAAAATATAAATGAAATGTCAGTTGTTATCTTCTGTCTTCTTAATTCCTGTTCTTTATTATTCTCTCTCTTTAATAATGTTTTCTTTTTCTCATATTCTCGCACTCAGTAACCCTTTGCATCATAGTGGCTTTATTGCCTTGCTTTGGGTGAAATGATTAAAAAAAAATAAAGTCTACTGGGAAGAAATAAAAAACTGCAAACTATGTTAATGCCAAAGCAGCAAAAAGTTATTAAAATGAACGAATGAGTAACTTGAAGATTAAAGAATGCCAAGGAGCCTATATTAAGATTTTAAAATAATAATTCATATAGATGTATGGGATAATGTCTTAATCATACTTATTATAAAACCCAGGTTGTGTGTGTCTGTTCGTTTATATATTGGATTGGATTTTCTACATTTTTCAACCGATTTCAACAAAACTTCACAGGACTACGTAAAATTACCTTGCGGTGGTTCTGACACTGGTTTTTGCACGAAATCAATTTGAAAACATGATTAAGAGTCGTCGTAGTCGCGAGAATGAAAGGGGGACAACTCATATCAAGTTATACTTATAAAACCCAGGTTGTTTGTTTGTTTGTGTGTGTGTGTTCGTTTATATATGGGATCGGATTTCCTACATTTTTCAACTGATTTCAACAAAACTTCACTTTTTTTTGGCAGGTAGTGTTTCTTATTGTCTTGCACACTTTTTTCTTTATTTTTACATTCAGAATGCTTTAAAAATTCCATTTACAAGACAATTGTTTATAATAAAATTGAAAAATTCTATTCAATCAGTAGACTCATAACGATTGAAAACAATGTTTTTGTTTGAGCTTGGGTTTGACCAATTCGTAAAAAAAAAAAAAAAACTAATTAAGACATGCGTGCCCGTCAACCTTAAACAATAATCTTTGTCAATTTTATTTTTCAGTCTTTATGATGGTGGATACTTGATCTATCTCTTACTGTTACATCCCCGGGCAACGCCGGGCTCTACTGCTAGTAGATTTATATAGTATATATTTTTTGGGTTTATTTAATGCTTGCATAATAAAAACTGACACTCCTAAAATAAGTATTATCAATATTTTTAATAAGGATAGATATTATGAGCTCAAAATCAAATTATGTATTTCTAATATATATGTAAGTATATCTTGAAAATGTTACAAACATTATTGAGAAAATATTGGCTTGCATAATAAAATATGACATTGGGTGATTAATAATGGGTGTCCCAACTTTTAGCTGAAGCCTGTTTGGAGAAACACCAGGTAGTTCAATTTGTTTGTGTGCATGATTATTATTTATGTTACATTCCATTTTATAATAAAAGGAAAAAAGAACTTTAAAATATTACTAGAAAAATGTAAATAATTTCATTTTCCCTTTCAAAGTTTTAACTCTGTAGTTATTTATTACAAGACAGATGAAATTTGTTATATACTAAAAAATAATGGAGAAAATAAAAGCCATGCTTACCCATTTTTGTAACACATCCTGCTTCTTTCCAATCACTTGATAAATCTTTTAATTTTAATGGTATTTCCATATAATCTCTTTCAGGGTCATCCCCCATTTGTATATATAGACCTTTATATGGTTTGGCATCTCTAGCACCTGGGTTACACACAAGTCTCGGGTGTTTAAAATAGGCTGAAAAATTGATAAAAAAAAAAAGTTTTAAGCAAACAATTTCTAAAGAAAAATAGCATTAACTCTTTCTTCCTGTATTGTTGCCAGATACTTTTTAAAAAAGTCTCTTCACTAGCATGTCATGACAAGCAGCAAAAAAGAGGAAACTTCATTAGTTAACGTATTTTTTGCTGCTGTTGATGATACCCAGTAGTGTATGTCTCATAATAAGTGAAGAGGAGATAAAGCTTCATCAAGTTATCTGTTTTCAATCTGAGATACAACAAAGAACAAATCATTTAGTCTGGCATGGCGTCTTTCGCCAACTTTCAGAATATGGGACCAGCCAACTAATTATGTATTTATTTATTCATTTTATTTTTTTAAGGACATAGACACTTTTTTTTTTTCTTTATCTTTAATTAATCTAATGTTTTGCGTTTCTGTTCATTGGAGTTATTAAAAATGCATTTCTGAGTGAAAAGCAATCAATTAGTAAATGATAAATTTGGGAGGAGTGGATAAAATTCCATCCATTCCCAACAGAAATGATGGGGGGGGGGGTTGAAGTAAAAAAACAAAAACAAACCAAAGTGTATTCACAATATCTGACATTACTTACATTCCCTATCAACTCTAATCTAGTGTTAAAATGTTCATAAAAAAATAAAATAATCTTATATAAGCCACATACAAGGGGATGCTGAAAATTTCTCAGCCTGAACCTCTTTTCAAAATCACTATTTCAATGACCAACCATCTGAATACTTATTTTTGGGAAATGGTTGGGTGGGAGCGAGAACTTTTCAGCATACACACACACTTTTTTCCCCCTCTAGGAAAATGAATATTAATACTTAGATAATTGATTTCCATAAGTTTCATATGAAAGACTCATAAGACACTGGGGAATATAATTATTTGTAATGTACACTCATCATGCAAAAAGGAGGTTGAAATTGACAACGTTCCAATCAATAATGTCCAATTTGCTTCAGTCAGTTGAAACTTCCCCACTGTCACCAGAGAAGCATAAAAAATATTATTAAAATACTGTACATTTCTATCAATTTTTGAAAACACTGTGCAGATCCAGAATTTAATTATCCTAAAAAAAAATTTATGAGTGTAATTGAAAGAGATATAAAACTCAAGCAAGGAAATAAATCTTTTAAACATTAAAAAAAAAAACAAAAAAAAAACTGGGTTTGAAAATTGGTCATTTACTGAAATCTTTAAGATATATTTTTATCAAAGAAATAAAGCTTCACTGTAATAATTGTATTTGATTGTTCAGTACACTTTCAAGACAATCAAAATATTTAAAGAAATTCAAAAGAATTTAAAAAAAAAATCCTTTAAATTCAGATTTGTTAGCTGATTAATAGACTCAGAAATGTTCCCCTTTTAAGATGACTGTAGCTCACGTATGGTGACTAGTATATAACAGCAAAGAAGAAACTGGAATTGCATGTGCAGATTGTGTAATGGTTAAAGGTTCAGGAAGAGAAATCAAAGAGCTGAGTTGAGATCATTATACTCACTTTCAAACAAATACCTTTGAGAAAAGGTATAAACATATCTCTTCTCCTCTCCGCAATGGGTTAAATAGTAGGGAAGATTGGAGTCATCAGCCATGGTTGGCAACCAGTATAGAAAGACAACTCTAAATTCAAAACCATGCATGTGTCTGCTTGGGGTATATATTTAAACTGTAACTAAAGTTTGAACAGCTTATCTGTAGTGTAAATCACTGATTTTCTCTGTGATTGTTATAGAAACACAAACGGACCTGAGCAAATAGACATGCTTGGTGAGAAACAGCCATTCTGAAGATGAGTAATTACACTGATTTGCAGTGTGCTTTCAAGTCGAAATAGCTGGCAAAACTTCATGCTAATGCCCCTTTGGAAAGGCATGAAATCATCTCTTTTTCCCCACCTACTTATTGTTTAAAAAGGAGGGCAGATGAGACTCTTTAGTCTTGGTTGCCAACTGGTTTAGAAGAAAGATAAATCTAAATACAAAACTGTAGAGAAGGCAATGAGTAAATATTCTACTACCTTTCCAAGGAACAATTATGGCAAGGCACACCATACAGATACTGAGGGAAGCTATGAAAATTCAAAGAAAAAGACTAGGATCTGTAGTTGATAAGGTAGATAGGGGTACTTTATAACAGGTATCTCCTTCCTTTGGTTGAATATTAGCAATGCATTCTTTTTTGTTTCAATTTTGATCCTACAGTATATACTCATGTATAGTGTCTATTTCACACACAAAAAAAAATAGGGGTTTGTACTATACAAAGTTCATTTTCTTTTTTTTTTTTTGAAGAAGAAGAAGTTAAAAATGATGCTTTTTTTGATGACATAGTTTTTTTTTCTGGAGCAATTAAAATTCATGCAAAAAAAAAAAAAAAAAAAATCAAAATTCAGGGGTTGCACTATGCATGAATTTGGCTTATACACAAGTATATTTTTACCTTTTTGTTTGTTTGATTTTTTTTTAAACAAAATATTAGCATTTATTAGTTACATTCAAACTACTGTCTTTATCACAGTATTTTGGCTTTTGTGCACTCCGGCCATCTTCGGGTGTCTGTTAATCTAAGTAATTTTTATGGAATTTTTAATCTGTTCTTATTATGCTTCCCATGTCCACGAATACCTCATCTTCTGATTTAGAACTGCGCAGTTATTGCTCATCCTATTTTCACTGAGTCTGAGTTTATACTACCCAACCCAGGTATTGAACTCGGAATTATTATGTCACCAAATTCACAAATCAACACTTTAACCCATGAGACTATTCTCTTGACTTCAATCCCTGGGCTGGATAGTACAGGCTTAGACTCTCTGGAAAGAGGGTGAGAAGTACTAAATAAGAACAAGAGAAGATATCCTTAAACACAGACAGCAAAATGAAAATATTCTTGTAGATTAAATAAAGGGTTCAGTTTGAAATTCCCAGAAGGTTACCTGGATTGACACCTGAAGACAGTTGGAGGATACAATGGCTGAAATGCTGTGATAATAATAACAAAGATGAGGACATTCTGAAAATTCAGCCAGAAATGATAGTATTTATTTTAAACTTGTTCTCTAGCTCCAATCCATAATACTGACAGGTGGTAGGGAAAAAATATTTTCTAAGCTGCAAAACATGGTATAAATGACATCTGTTTCTATATCACTTGTAGGCAAGCTGGCTTTGATCAATTAAAACAAATTAATTTGATTTTATAAAAAAAATGTCTTTAATTGCTCAGGTCAGGCACTTATTACAACATGCAAAGACAAAGAAATATTACTCACCTGTGAGTGTGTATAATTTTACACCCTTGTTAGTTTTTCCTCCTTTCATAAAAGGGGGCATCATTTTTGCAGGGGGAATGTTTATAGTGCGATTGTTAGCATCAAATCCTTTCAAATAATTTGGGATCTAAAAAGAGAAAAAGAAAAATATAATTGTTAGTTGATATTTACACACCATAATGAAACTGTTTCTTTCTCTTGTTGAGTGTTAGATTTTCTGGCCTCTAGTTTAATGCACACTGTCCACTGATAGAAAGATGCAAATCCACCTAATGCCTCTGGAGTTAAAATTATTTTTAATACCATCATTAACTTGTACATTTGATAAAATATAATCAAAGATAAGTAAAACAGAATTTTACTTTTAATCTTTTAGATCACTCTGTGCATGTTCAAAGTAGTAACTTCAAAGGAGACGATGGAAAATAGGTATTAGTCTAAGTAATTTTTTATCATGTTCAAATGGTAAAAACTACTGTGAAGTTCATATTATAAGATAGAGTACTAGAAACAGTGCAGCATGTGAATTACAAATTGAAGATACCAAAATCCAGCAAATACAAAAATTTAAATATCTAGGAAGTGTTTCAAACAGAAGATGGAAAATGTAACACTGAAATCTGAAGGCATATCAGGATAGTTGAAAGATGTCTTCCAAAAGCTAAGTAATTAAGAAGCAGGAAATTTTGTTAGAAACAAAGAAAAAAAGTACTGAACTGTAATATTGATCCTTCTACATGGCAATGAATGCTAGACAATCTCTTTACAGATAAAGATGAGACTTGAAGCAACAGGAATGTGCTTCTATAGAAAGATGCTGAGAATACCATGGACGGAACATGTGAGCAACAATAAAATTTTAGAGATGGAAACAGAAAAAAACACTTAGAATCAAGAAGAGATAAGTGAAATTTCTAAGGTACATAATGAGGAAAGAGGGCTTGGAAAATTTAACATCCACAGGATATACTGAAGGACAGATGAAAGTAGGGAATAACCTACCTAATGAATTTGTGTAAATGTATGGCAGAACAGGGATTAGGAGAGATAGCAAATGATAAATATTACTAAGAGCTATAAAGGACAGGAAATTGTAGAGAGCAATGAAGGGACATGGCACACAGAAGAAGACTTGCTTAGAGTACAACACAAAATCCCCATTTGATCCCTTTTGTTGGTTTGCAACTGAATGATGTACACTTACTATAGTCACTCATAGTAGAGGGTTACTGAATGAGGTCTATGATATGAACATAAGAGGCAATAGAAGGAAAGGAAGATTATGAGGATAGATATCGATTGGCCCATAACTTGAAGAGCTTAAGATTATAGTATTCAGGGAAGCATCTATACATGAGTTTGTTATACAAAGTAGCAGTTCTCAAAATCTGAGCAGAACTTCCTCCTTGCAAATGGAATACATAGGAAATGTGGGTGAGACATAGTATGGTGAGCCCTGGCTGTAAAGGTCTGAACTGATGGGACTAAAGAGTGGGTCACATGTGAACATTTACCATGGAAATAATGATAGGGTAGCAATAGGCTTGCAATGTTGTGTCTGTAGGAAAGAGGCTATATACACCCCCCCCCAACAATTTACATTTAATGTTTATAGTATTATGGATTTGGACTATCAATAATTGTACTTATTCTATGGCAACTGGATAAACATTAGCCTACCAAATACCTCAACTTTGGAAATAAAACACTAGGAGATTTTTTTTTTTTTTTTGCCTGGGATGATGGGTCTTACAGTCCTTCAAATACAATTTTCTTATCCATTCCATAATATAAACCTTTAATGCCAGAAGCACCTAAATGTGCCAGAAAGTTTTGCAAGCTTACAATCCACGTGCACCTATTCTATATTTGAGGACACTGTGTTAACACCCATCATCTAATCATATAGTCACTGGAAATCTGTAACATTTACAAACTTGTATATTTCCCAAATTATATCTAACCAGTAATACCAAGGAGGTTATATTTGGTATCATTAGAATGAGATATCTATATTCTTTCATATAAAGATGAACTTGTAATACTCAATTTACTTGATAAATATAAGTTTTGAGGCATATCAATTTATAGCAAGATTTTTCAACAATTTGGTCAGGCGTCCAGGTATTTAACATTTGAAATCTGTTAAATAGATAGACAGAAAAAAATGTCACAGAAAAAGAGCTGTTTATTTTACTAAGAGAAGAAGAAATTGAACATAGACTAAGTTGTGCTATGGTAACTGCACCCAGAACCACAAATTGCTACAAAACCAAAAAACCTTGAGTCATCTTCTTAAATAGCCTCATCAGATCAAGACTTTCATATAGATGTCATGCATGGCACCAAACTTATTCAGAAATATCTAAACTGTCAGTTGTATACAACTGCTTTCTCAGATCAATGATTAAAAATGATTTTGAGTGAATAAAGCATGTTGGTTTTAGTGAGAGCCATTCTTCTTTGAATGGGAAAACTAGAATCACAAAAACTGTACTCACATTTGAGGACTTTCAACTAAAATAACAGAAACCACATCACTTGAGGACTTTCAACTAAAATCAGAAACCAACATCACTTGATTGAGGACTTTCAACTAAAATAACAGAAACCAACTTGGAGGACTTTCAAAAATTAACAGAAAAACCAAATCATGTTGGACTTTCAACTAAAATAACAGAAACCACATCACTTGAGGATCAACTAAAATAAGGACTTTCAAACAAAAAATAGAGCTTTCATTCTTCTTTTAAAATAACAGAAAACCAGAAGGACTTTCAAACTAAAATAACAGAAAAAACTTGAGGACTTTCAACTAAAATAACAGAAACCACATCACTTGAGGACTTTCAACTAAAATAACAGAAACCACATCACTTGAGGAGGACTTTCAAACTTGAGGACTTTCAACTAAAAATAACAAAATAACAGAAACCACATCACTTGAGGACTTTCAACTAAAATAACAGAAACCACATCACTTGAGGACTTTCAACTAAAATAACAGAAACCACATCACTTGAGGACTTTCAACTAAAAATAACAACTTGAGGACTTTCAACTAAAAATAACAGAAACCACATCACTTGAGGACTTTCAACTAAAATAACAGAAACCACATCACTTGAGGACTTTCAAAAAAAAACAGAAACCACATCACTTGAGGACTTTCAACTAAAATAACAGAAACCACATCACTTGAGGACTTTCAACTAAAATAACAGAAAACATCACTTGAGGACTTTCAACTAAAATAACAGAAACCACATCACTTGAGGACTTTCTAAAACTAAATCACTTGAGGACTTTCAACTAAAATAACAGAAACCACATCACTTGAGGACTTTCAACTAAAATAACAGAAACCACATCACTTGAGGACTTTCAACTAAAATAACAGAAACCACATCACTTGAGGACTTTTCAACTAAAATAACAGAAACCACATCACTTGAGGACTTTCAACTAAAATAACAGAAACCACATCACTTGAAACAACAAAATGAGAAACCTTTCAACTAAAATAACAGAAACCACATCACTTGAGGACTTTCAACTAAAAATAACAGAAAACATCACTTGAGGACTTTCAACTAAAATAACAGAAACCACATCACTTGAGGACTTTCAACTAAAATAACAGAAACCACATCACTTGAGGACTTTCAACTAAAATAACAGAAACCACATTAACAGAAGGACTTTCAACTAAAATAAAGAAACCACATCACTTGAGGACATAAAATACTTGAAACCACATCTTTGAGGACTTTCAACTAAAATAACAGAAACCACATCACTTGAGGACTTTCAACTAAAATAACAGAAACCACATCACTTGAGGACTTTCAACTAAAATAACAGAAACCACATCACTTGAGGATCACTTGACTAAAAACAGAAACCACATCACTTTCAACTAAAAATAACAGAAACCACATCAACTAAAAATAACAGAAACCACATCACTTGAGGACTTTCAACCAAAATAACAGAAAACTTCAAAAATAACAGAAACCACATCACTTGAGGACTTTCAACTAAAAAATAACAGAAACCACATCACTTGAGGACTTTCAACTAAAATAACAGAAACCACATCACTTGAGGACTTTCAACTAAAATAACAGAAACCACATCACTTGAGGACTTTCAACTAAAATAACAGAAACCACATCACTTGAGGACTTTCAACTAAAATAACAGAAACCACATCACTTGAGGACTTTCAACTAAAATAACAGAAACCACATCATTTGAGGACTTTTGAGGACTTTCAACTAAAATAAAAAAATGGAAAACAAATGTGGCTCAAATTTTTCAAAAAATAATGAAACCACATAATCAAAATGTTGACATTAACAGAAACCACACTTTGACTTCAAACATCAAAGGTAACAGAAAGGGAAACCACATCAAGGGCTTTCAACTAAAATAATGGACTTGAGGAAACTAAAATATTTTCTTGAGAAAAACATCTTTTGTTTTAATAAAATAACAGAAACCACAAAGGATTTTAAAATAACAGAAACCACATCACTTGATTAAAATAACAGAAACCACAATACTTCAACTAAAATAACTGAATGTTTCCTTATAAGGAAATTCAACTCTTATTACCATTTTCGCTCAGAAAAAATTAGTTGTTAAATTTAGAGAATGAAATAGGTATAAAAAAATGTTTGATGGATTTATAATATTATTTTGGTAACAGAAGTAACCACATGTTTTTCAATTTTTTTAAAGGAAAGCTGAGAAGATATTACAAAAAGGCTGTACATGGTCTTTCCCAAAAATTTTTTTTTTTTTAATCATTTCACCCCACAGTATGGATATTTTAGAACACCTTATACCATAGTTTTGTTAAATTTTTTAATTATGGAGGATGGTATTCTGAATTTTTTGATATTTTAGTAAACATAAGAAATATTTGGATTATAATTTCTAATTTGGAGAGGATTACAAACAGTTTTACATGGTAGTTTTTTTTTTTTAACCAAAAAGATAAATCTTTTTAATTAATGGGCTTATATCTTTATTCAGTAGGAACCCTTACAAATTAGGATTGGTCATCCATTAAATGTTGCATTTTTAAATTTACATGAAGATTGCATTTTTATTTTAGAA